CCCACGCAGGGCATTCTCTCACTGTGTGTTCCTCCGTGTCCTCAGGGACTGATGAGGTGTAGTATCTATGTAAGATCTATGTTATATAATGTAATGTATCGCATTTTTATAAGTTAGTATTAAAAGATTATCGATCGGGAACAGTTGTTTCATTAAAACATACTCCCTTCACTGATGTGCATACCTTTATAAAAAATTGGTTTAATGATAACAGCCTAGATTTGAAGGAGATAAATAACTAAGGCATGCTAAAAAAGTAAAAGTACTCACCAAAGATCTGCTCTTCAACGTCTAATTCACCACCAGCACCATAATTAAAACTACATTAAAAAACATTTAAAGTACGATGTGTCATTATCACTTGAATGTATCATTATTTTCCTAATATCAGCTCATATTAGGTATAGTTCCGGGTGTCGTCGCTGCGAGGACCGCCCTTAGGACACGGTGGAATATACGGTAGCGGCATGCCCTGCATGGACTGAGCCCTCCCTCCGCCGTGCCCTCAGGGATGTCATCGGCGATGGCGAACTCCCGCGTCTTGCCCTAGTCCCGGTCATGATGCGGACCGAGGAAGAAAAGGATGTCGTCTCTTTGTTCTGCGAAGCAGTTATGCTAGCTAAGGGGCAGGCGGGAAGTGTGAGGCAGCGAAGTACTGCCTCCTCATAACCAAGCCGGTGCAAGAGACACTCCGAGCGTCTGGGATCGCGAGTAGGAACGGGGTGGTTTTTAGTTAGTAAGAAGCTGACACTCCCTTCCGCCTTACCCAGGCGGGAGAAGTCATTCGATGATTTTCCCTAAAAAAAGATTATCTACGTATAATTAAGTACGTAGTTTTATAAATTGGCTTCGACTTGGCACTTTACTAGAATGCAACACTGTTTGGTGCCAAGTCAAGGCGTTTCTAAGGATTGATCAGCGAGTCTAATTTCTTGGCAATACGAGTCCATAGTTGACGAATAGGACTCAAGCCATGAGTTTAAATGGTACATTGTGTCTGTTACGCGGACCTTCATAATGGATTATATAATTTACACAAACATGTACTAAATATATTGTCTTATTGGTTACAGTAAAATATAATATTCACATTTGTCAACACCTTTACGCTGCCCGCGAAAATCGTTGCCTAAGGTACTACCTACGCATTTTAGAGACTAGGCAGCGCTCTTTCAGCCACAACCGGAAGTTCACGCTCACACATTGGAGCCCAAATGGTCCCGTACAGTTCGTTTTCATAGAAATTTCCTCTTAAGGACCTTCCGATTTTGGAATGAACTCCCTGCCAAGGTTTTCCCGGTGGCCTACATTATAGGGTTCTTCAAGAAAGGAGTAAATAGGTTTGTTAAGGTTCGGCAAGGCGCATTTAATGTACCATGTGTTGTAAGCGTTCATAGGCCACGGAAACCACTTACCATCATGTGGGTCGTGTGCTTTTTTTGCCACCGTCGTGGTATGAAAAACAACTTCATTTTTTTTTAAACTGCGATCTGCTATTATCCCCTCGTTTGTCTAAGCGTGGATCCATACGAGACACAATGTATTATCTATTGTGTCTCATATACGGGCATTCAAACGGTGAAAAACTGCTAAACGTACAGCATGGACACGGCTCCAGCAGTGAACTGTTGTAGAATCTGCTATTGATGTTAACATAATTTCATACATACTTAAATCCCTCCTTGATTTCACAAACATCTTAACCAAGTCTACACAGCAGATTTATCTTCGGATTTATCCGTCAGTCCCAATTCATGTAACTCCACGCGTCTAGGCGTGGCATCGATCGAACTGACTACCTTCAATTACGGAGCTAAGAGCGCTTATTATTTAGAAATTCAATCGGTAAATACAATAATCGTTTCGCATGACAACGCGTTAGCCGGCGGCGGCGGACGACGCGGTCGACTTTCGGTAATGTTAGGACTTAATTAGCTATTGAAGCTGTATTATAGGCTCGGTTTGTGATGTCGAAGAAGTTTATATTTAAAGGCGTGCAGTTTTGGATCTTATGTAGATAAATGTAGAGTTTATTCGTAGGGTGACCGGTTGTAGAGGAACTGATGAGACTGAAAACTTAGGTTTCATCCGGGTTACTACCAAAGTAAGAAAAGATCTTGGGTTTTGGTTTCCCTGAATAGCCAAGTCGAGTTATTAAAAGAGAAAGTTGCCAGAATTCTCAGATCTTACTAATATTCTGAAAATAAGTAACATCTCGGGTATCTGGGATCTTGGACTATGATAGGAAATGTCCAGTAGCTAGAGTACCTACTACTCACGGGTATGACAAAATAAAACAGCAATTCATGCATCCAACTAAATATTTATTTCGCCCATTTACATAATATAAATTGATGATAAATGGCTACGTTTACTAGTCAGCGAGCCTGAACTCAACTACGCTTTGTACTGAACAATTTCTCTTGGCGAACTATCCTCCTATCTCTATCCAATTACTCCATTATTTTACGAATACACAGTACAAGAAACAATAAATACCAATGCGTATGTAATGTTAAATTATTTATAAAAATAGCTGAAGAAATTTTTGGTACGATTACATGTATAATTACACTAAAATTAGTTTTAAATACGAATCCATCTATTCTACTGAGAAGTATGTAACATTAACATAAAGGAATATAATAATAATCACACATAAACATACAGTAACTAGTCGAAAAATCAGTCGAAATCATTCAGCTTAGGTAACTCAATACTTGTCGTATGTAGATAATAGAAACATGAAAATGTATAGAAAACTCCCAAAGGGTACGTTCCACTGCCACAAGATTCTATTTTTACAATAACCCGATATAAAAATTGACAAATAAATGTGATTGATAAAGTCGTAGCAGTGGAACGCACCGTTAACTGTATATCATATAAAAAGTGTATAGAATTAACTAGAGAAGTTATTTGTAAAACAAAACACTGCAGTATGGTCGTATGAAGTTTGTGCGGAGTTTTTCGATAGCTACCAACATTACTTAGTTAAAAGGTTTTGGAATTGCGCAAAATTGTGCAAAGTTGTGCAAAAATGCGCAAAAATGCTCAAAATGATTTGCGCAATGTCTGAGGTGCTTATTGTCAGAATACTAAAACGCTACTCAATTTTAAGTCGTGCTTAAGTATAGTTCTATCTCTACAAATTCTTTGTAAAATGACAGAGATGGCACGATATTTGAGCACGACTTAAAATTGAGTAACGTTTCAGTATTCCGGCATATGTCGCATAGAATCCATATTATACTATTAGAATATTTTGGACATTCCACCTTTTATTGGTCACCTTTTAATAGTTAAGCTGATTGGATTATTCATACTTTACGCGCCACTAGTGCTAAATGCTAAGTACTAAATTGAAAAGTCTTATCGAACACTGAATTCAGTCCTTAAAATCTCAGATTTTTTTATGAACACAAAATCACAAATTACGAAAATCTGTGCAACAATCTTTAAAAGATTTACAACACTGTTTCTCAACAAACATTTCGCGAGTAAAATAGCTTATAATAATGTTCAAAAATAGCAATTAGCATAATAATGACGTTACGCATTCGATACTTAATGAGTGTTCTTTAAAACGGTCTAATTGTCGAAACAAGCTCGTTCTAAACTGTGAGAAAGATCTCGCTTATTTGATTCCTATGGAAATTATACACAATCAAAGCTTATCTTAATTTTACATCCCGAGCAGTTTCAAAATGGCGTAATGTTGATAGCTATTCAAAAATTATCAAGTTTACAACAGTTATATAGCAATAAAAACTAGTTGATACATAATATTAAAATATAAAATGTTGAACAATACATTACGATTACACACAATAACAGATGTAAAGATTTTTATGAAATTGTTCGTTGGAAATGTAAATCTTAACACCTAGAACTTAAGGGCTATAGTTAAAAAATCTAACGCGTAAAATGTATGAAAAATATCACTTGATTATCGGAAAGACTTTTGTCGAAGATTTGTTAATTGTTGAGTAGAAAACTTGAAGTAGTTTTATTGTATACTTATACTATTTGGTATTTATATTGCATTGCTATTTAATAGTTTAAAAATAGAACATAACAGATAACTATTTATTTATTTATTTCATAGTTTTTTTTTATAGCAATCAGCTGGAACTTTTATAATATTTTTATACAATATAGGATCATCGTAATTTTTTTTTCGAGTAAATTTTAGCTTTAATACTTTTTCAATTTAGAAATCGAGAGATCAATATAATTAAAGCGTTATATTTACATCGAGACGACAAATACATTTTTATTTTATTCTTCGTTCAGAGAAAAGTAATTGGTATAAATTTTATATTAATATAGTAAAGTTAGAATATGAAAAATTGTATGAAAAAATTCATCGAAACACGACGTACAAGACTAAATAAAATTGCACCATTATTAGGGAAAAATAATTGTAGATTTTCAAGACTTTTTCAATTTTACAAAATAGAAGAATTATTAAGAATTTATTTTACGGTAATACCGAAATCAAAATTCAGCCAAAATGGTTACCTAGAATAGTTGCCAAACTTATAGAATATTATTTGAGATATTTTCTTATGAAATCGTCAAAAAATATGTATTTTTTTACGTATGTACTACATAAGAGACGGACTAATATTAACTACATTTTGAGCAAAGCAATACGGACTAAAATGATACATTTATCTACGTAAATAGTTCAGTAAAACAAGCATAAATATTCTCTAAACATACGAAGATAAAGTTGAAAATAACTTCGACAAATAATTGTTGATATAATGCATTATTATGCAGAAACAATACTGGTAAAATAAGGTAAACTTGGTTGAGAAAACTCAATAAAATTCATACAAAAATAATACAATTCCATTCAAATATTTTGATGTACGATAAAATATGTCAATGTATAAAATAACGTTACCAATTTAATACTATTTATAGGAATCATAATTGAATAAAATCACGAATAAAATAATAAAATACAACAATAAACACATTTTGTTAAGAATACATAAAACTTCAGACTCAGAACAGAGTAATTAGAGAAAATTTTAGATTTTTTTACTCTAATACTTAAAATGAAAAAATTGTAAATGATTTATTAGTCTATTGTTAGAAATGTAAAGTTTAAAATTAATATTATATCACTGTTATATGGCCCCGGACAGATAACTAAATGCATTCTGTGCCAAAACAAAAATATAATTTTAAATCACATTAAATTATATCTAATAATAATTTTATTCCATACAAGGAATGATATGCATACTATATAATTATCATACTATAAAAATAAAGAAATATTCTAGCATGGGCGCCTGATGAATATTGTAAGCAATGGCATTCGTGCGACTCTTTGCTATAAAGACTTTATCAGGCGTCAACATTTATTCTGAGAAAATAGTTATTTAAATCGTTTAATTTCACTTCATTTGACGGAAAAGTTATTATTTATTTAAGAATAATTGATAAATATTTGAAAATACATTCTAACACATAATATACGTCTATTATGTATAGATAGATAATAACGTCTAATAACTCGAACTAAAATAGTGTGGCCACTATTAGTAATTTCACTATTCTTTATTGATCACTGCAAAAAATACAAATATTTCACATATTAAAATGTTTTTGGAAAATCAATATTATCGTATACTCAAATGGTTTATACATATTTCTTGGAAGCAAATCTGTTCTTTCATAGACTTAACATGACATTTTAAAATCAATAGTAATTGCATTATTTGTAGAGTTGACATTTGCTTGAATGTAAGTATAGTCCAGTACTAAAAATGTACAATTTGGAAGTAAAGGCCTGTTATATTTACGCTTTTATTAGCAATGTGTAATAATGTAATCTCGTGGATTGTTGATTTTAGGAATTCAATTAGAGCAAAACTGGCAAATGATATATAAACTCAAAAATCGAATAGGTACGAAATCCTGGTTTCCTTATGCAAATTATGGTAGATGGATTGTTGTCGCATCCAGTCGAAATTTGAATTTTGTTACATCATTTAAAATGTTGTAAACCAATTGTACTCCAACAAATAAACTCCATCCATCACAGTCAATAAGTCGTATCAAGTCAATGCAACTGTCAAATGATAAGGTTGCCATTTCAACTCGCAAAGCTTCCGTGGACCAATCAATCCATAATCACATCAATAGACAAAGGCTACATAACATTACATTTGACAGAGCATTCAAATCAGGGTGTTTCTTTAGAGACGCTAATGTGGCATAAGTTGTTTGACTACCAAAGTATTTGCCAAATATCAAGCCATTAGCAACTTTTGGACAGCTCATCCAATAAGTGGTATCATTTTGTTGCTCAACAGATGGCAGTAACATCCTGTTTGATGTCCAATTTGTCCAACTACAGTAGCTGTTTGAAAAATTTGTCCAATGGTTTAACATTAGCTAATTCTCTATTGGACAACGAGAGCTTTACACTACATTAACGTTATTAAGTGCGCATAAATCGTTAGCTCTCACTGGACTGAAGGGACTTTACGCCCCACTAGCGCCGTTTGCACAGAACAAAAATCTTTATAATATTGATATTTAAACATATAATATATAATCTTACTTTAACAGTGTGATTCGCCGTTCTCGTGGTGTCCTGAGTCAAAGGAGCTGAGGTGGCCGAGTCCTTTCGGTGGTATGGGTGGAGGTTTCTCTCCCTCATCCACTCGGAGAGGCTCCGACATCATTGAGATTATTTCCTCGTATCGTAGTGAGTCTACTGTGAGATCTAAATCTGGAAGAATAGATGTGATATAGCATTTGTTCCAAACAGTTGCAGTTTGATATAATACCTATAACTCTGATAATGTTATTTAAAAGTATTTTGCATTAAATGCGTAGTTTAACGGAGTCTTTCTCATACGTCGGGCAAAATTCGTGGTACAACTGCAATTTCCAAAAATAATAATTGTTGGGCGAGAGAAGTATATCCGAGACCCATTGAAAAAACTCGCCCAAAGATGAATTCATTGAAATAACGTATGATGGTCATTACGGAACAAGGACATCCCTATTTTTTTAGAGGTAGAGTTATAATCTTACCTTTATGCAGATGTCCATGTTCATCTGCGTTTCCATACGCATGGTCGACGCTGACGCCGGAGTCTCGCGCGTCGTCCGGAGTGTCTATACAACGCGGCCCGCGACGGGGTATGGCGGGTGGGGCTTCGATCCATGACCGTTTGTCTCCTATGAAAATTAATACATCAATTTATTTAATCAGTTTCAATTCAATACATCAGGTACGATAAACCTAGTGATAGTTTTTGACTTAAGAATACAGCTGAAGAGGAAGCCACCGGTTTCAATTAGTTCCGTAGTAGTCGAACATGGGCTTGTCAAAAGCGATTGCAGCTACCGTAAAATGGGCTGGTCCCTATTCACAAGTGGTGAATCGAGACAGAAGAGGGGTGAATAGATATTGGAAAATTTTTTATAGTATCGATTAACCCCTCTTCTGTCCCTATTTACCTCTCGATTCCTATTCACCCCATTTTACCGTACTCAATCAAGGAGGAAGGTAAGTAAATATAATAATAATAAAGTGAAGCATACCAGACACTCTAGGTGGTAATGGAGGTGCATCTCCAGGTTCGCTCCAAGACGCGCGACTGTGTCGGCACTGGTCTACCAAGTCACCATCGATTGAATCCCTGTTTGAACAAATATTTTGTACTGATAACATCCAGCAAACGATATTGCAAATCGTTTTGATGAAATAGAAATATAGATGAAGTTATGAATTGCAAACATGGTGTATTATAAAAGTCTCACCGGTACTTCTCCAGAGGTGGTCTGGTTGGACTCCTAGGATCTCCGGACTTTGGTCTGATAGGTAACGGCGGCGCAGACTTGATCATAGAGTTATCTTCCACACAGTCGCGGTTGTCACTGATCGGCAGACTGCTCGACATTATACTCTGTTGCTCCATTGCGTCTTCCATTGATAGCTGTTGAGGATATTAAATAAATATAATAATTTTTAGATTATGTACTGTGATTGCTTTATCATGATTGTGGTGAGACTTGAGTATAGAGTGTAAACTAAAGACACACCTTCTTAGTATTTAAAAATATGTTTTTCATTCTCTTTCTTTAAACTTTATTTTCAGGCAACTTAAGCTCATAGACTAACATAAATATTTTAACATACAATGGGGATGATGACAGGGTATGAAAATTAAAAATATAATTAGTCCGTAACTTAGGTAATAAAAAAATATTAGACACCTATTTTTTTATTTTGTTGTATAATAAAACAATACTTAGATAAAACGAATCAAAGTTTAGGAGTGGGGGCTAAAACGTCATTTCTTAGTATAAAATGTACTGAGAAGGACGTCACGCGACATTTCAAATCAATATATCTTCGTTTCTTTCGAAACTATTCGTTTCCGTAAGAAAATAAAAAATACGTGTCTAATGTTTTTAAATAATCTACCAGACGGGCATTAAAATAAAAATTAGTCGTCTACCCCATTGATGCTAGTAATATAGATGTTACATAGACAGAGATTTACAATATTATGTAAACTTGAATGCAATCACTTTTCGCCACTTATATGATTTGGGAATACAACTCTAGACCCTTTGCTTGACAGTCACATTTATCACAACTTTAACAACGAGAAACTCTAACCATTATTGTAAATAGTTTCTTTTGGTAAGTGAGCAACAGGGATTGTCTGAGATCTCGTAGACCCGTACCTATACTATGGTGATTTCACCACTACTTACCGGTTTATCATAGAGATGGTGGTCGTCGTAGTAGTTGTCGCTTTGTTGTATACTCTGAGATCGTTTGTCTAGTGCTGGGACCGGAGGTAATGGAGTGCTGAAATAATTATTTAATTTTTAAGTTTTAGTACAAATACCGATACACAGGCATATTGACAAACGTTTATATTTCAGTATTAACTTCTTGTATCTAAGAACTAATTAATATTATTATGCTTAAATGTTTACTTTTACTTACTTTACAATACTTTCTGATAGTTGTCTTCGTGCACGAGCCAAACCCGGACCTAAGTTTTGGCGAAGTTGGTTAAATCGTTCCACGAGTCGCCTGCAAATAGAATATATTTATTTATTAACACTTTATTGCGCAAGTCATAAAATAAAAAATAAGTAGTAACATCTCTAGTGTGTGCAATGGGATCAAATCAAATCTTGGAACCTTTTATTTTGTATTTACAATCGATTTCAAGTGTTCAGTCAGTCTTGCCCAGAAGGGCACGACATCTAACTGACGGAATTTCGTCTAATCTTTGATCTTTTTTTTATTCGCTGTTTTAGTTTTATTTAATTTTAAGTTGTGTATACTTATTGATATTAGTATGTTAATAAAAATCAACTAGTTTTTGCTAAATTAAATTAAATTAGTATAGATTTTACGAACTACACTCGACCTAAATCATACGATACCACAAATCAAAAACAAAAACAAACCTATGCAGCGGCTTAACATCCTCAGGCGCCAGTCTCCCGTGCAGACTGAGTCCAGCGTCGACCACGGCGAGCTGCGAGGCCACGAGGCGCCTGAGTTTGGCCGCGGCGGCCGCCTCCCGGGGACTCGCGTTCCTCGCGAACTCCGCCGTCATGAACGCTTGCTCATACTTCGTGATACCGCCTTGCACGTTGGCGTCTATAGTCCCTTGTAGTCGCATGGAGAATGGATTTATGTTCAGCGTCGGGTCGGCTGTGTACTGTGAGATGAGGCTGCGAAGCTCCCGTTCTGTTGCTTCCATCGTTTCGCAGGCGTACTGGAAGAGATGGTTTTTGAAAGTTTAGAATCTTAAAGAAATTGATGGGTTAAAGATGGGGATGGATAGGTCTCATTCTATGCGCAAAATAATATGATATAAATACGTAAATGGAAATTGATATTACAATTGATGACGCATCGTATAGACGACCTAATAACATTTATTTGAGGTAAAATACAAAATAGGTACTTACTTCTACTGGTGGTATTTCTTCAACAGATCTGGAAACAACTTCAGACCATCGTAGAATACCTGGCAACGTGTTTTCAGTCACTAATGTCGTTCGTTCTATCCAAAGGCTCTGAAAAAAAACAGAATTTAAATGTAAATTAGGCAAAAATAGTGTAAAATTGTCCATAACAATATGATCTTATTTATACTCAACGATGGAAGGCACAAAATCTTATAGGGTTAACTTTAAATGGATCTTGAGTTAATTAACCTTAAGTTGATTTTACCTTAAACTCGTTATCTTTATCAATCGGAGGTTTCTGTAGTGGTCTGTCACAGAGGAATGTATCGACATCATTGCAGGCGTAGAACCGTTTGACTTGTTCCGGAGTGCCAGACGGCCATTGTCGACGAGACGCTACCGGCTTCACATTGCAGATTTGAATGTCTGTAATGTATTTTTCAGATGTTAGCATTGCATTAGTACTGCGTACAGAAGATAATCTTCCTTGAAATGTATGGTTAGGGTACAAATGATCCAATTTTTCTTATTTACTTTTCCTAATAAAAAGAATTGTATTTACGTGAATAGTTATTATGACCACCTCGTATATGTAAATTAAAAGTAGTGGTTAATAATTGAATAATTACAATCCAGGCCCACTTTAAGTTTCAATTTAATAGACATAGACATGGAATATTAGTGAAAACCTTCATCAAGAAAATTCAGTAAAATAATATAAAAATTTGTTCAACAGTCTTGTAAAACAACAAAAAGGGATACAATCTTTATTTATAATTATAAGTAAACGTAAAGACGAAAATATACGAACACTGTCCATCGTTAGCGATGACGGAGTCGTCAGGCGGCGTGTTCCGCATGAGTATATGCGCGGCGACGTACTCGGCCTGCAGGCGCTGGGTGAAGGCGCCGATACGCTCGTAGTCGTGGCCGCGGTACACGAACTGCTTGTTCTGGGGCAAACAATAACATGGTTTGTAAGTGCTTACATTAATGTAGTCAAAAATTGTAAAAGGTGATTGCACCAGTACTAACATATTAATCTTTTGAAAAGAGAAAGAACCGAATAGAAATCGGTTACAAATATAGAGAGTAAACTAAAAAACAAGAATCATAATCATTATTGCCCTTAACCCGTTGAAACTCATCCCCTAAATTTGTTCATACACAAGTAGTCTTTAAACATTGGAAATAAGGTCAATAATGTAGTGAGTGGAGAGCGGTCACCAGTGACGGCTTGGGGGATGTATGGGCTAAAGTCGGGTAAAAACAATTACACAGCAAAAAGGCAAAAAGCTTTAGTTTAATGCATACACACATAACCTCACGCCTGTCTCCCATGGAGGTAGTCAGAAGACTATGGAACGCTAATAGCTACGATTCTCGCATACCTCTTTTGCTTCATCAACAGTCATCTTTAGTTTAGCAGAAACTAAGATTAATTTAAGGGTAACAGATATCGTACAGATTGTCGCACATGCTGTCATAATTATGGACCCCAACGAGTCTTGAAATTAGTTGAGTAACTTCGTGAAGCTACAATTAAGATTATGTATGCCTATGTACTCTGTTTTTATATATGTATTGTCCTCTGTGTTGTATGTGTGTACATAAATAATAAATTAATTAATGATCAAACATTTTACAATAAAACTTACCCTCACAAATAACGGACATCCTTTCCCATAGAACCCGACCCTGAAGTACTCAGGTTCAGGTCTGAGCTGTTCCATGACGGAGTCCAAGAAGGTCGCATGTGTTCGCAGACAGTGCGAGAGACGTGGGTAGTCACATAGTTTCACTTCGTATAGAGTTGCTAGCTCACGGAGTAAAGGCAAGCCTTTTTCCCAGCACTGGAATTCAAATACAGTTGTTATTCAATTTCCAGAACATTTTTTAATAGACATTCTTTATGTTTATTTAACATGCAATGTATAAATGTATTTAATTACATAGGATCTCCAACAAAAGATGTGTACAGCACATGCCATGAAATTCATACAAAATTGTAGGTTAGGTAAGTACACTCTTTCAATTACAGGAAATCACAACATGCACTTTATTTATCGATTAAGTCAATAACATAAAAATTAAAATATGTAGTTGAGATAGAGGCCAACTTGTAAAAGTTCACAAGAATAAAAAAAACACAAGTATAATAATAAGTTGGTTACATAAGACAATCTGACAGCGTTATACAATTTTGTGGCATTAAAGAATTAAAAGTTTGAAAATACGTATGGAAAGTAAATGGAAGTATGAATGTATATATGAATGTATGTATCATGTATGTATATAGGTATTTTATTTTACATAAGCATAGATTAAGTTATAGGTATGAGGCCAATAACAAGTTTCCATTTACAAGTTAATGACTAGTTCAAAGTTTGACAGCCTGGGACGCAAAAAACTGATTTAACAATAAAAAAGAAAGTAGGAAAACATATGATGACAAACGAATATGATGCATGATGTATGAATGAGGAGAAAATGTTTTTACCTTTCCACGATCAAAGTATTGTAGCACTTGATTGTAGATCGCCTCTTTACGTTTCCACTCGGGCATCTCTGGGTACTCGGGATCCACGCCAATCTGATCGCTCTCCCAACTCAACGTTTCTGCATATAACTGAAAATATACACATACCATGTAGTGAATTAGCAATAAATAATCGTCAGTCTACAGGAATCAAGCTATTACCAAAGAATTCATATTCTTAATATATATATATCTCCACCTGTAATATTGACTACCTCACTAGCTTACCAGTAAAGTGCAACCAGCTTCGACGAAGTTATCAGACGCGATGTGAAGGTCGTGCAGTTTGTACACGTACCGTAGGTACATCTCTTTGCGATCTATCTCGTTCTTGTAAAAGTTCTGGAATAAAACGACTTGGTAAGTCTTTATATAGCATAAAACAGTTAAGATGAAAAATTAATCTATAATTAATAAATAATAACAAAACATAACATCTCGTCTTTACGGCACTTAATGCCACTGTACAAAGTAACACCCACTTTTCATTATTTATGTTGAGTCCCATGTAATAGGGGGAGAGGCTATTGCCATATACCGGGCATATTTCCAGACACCGTGCTACCACTAATTTTTTTTTAAAACCCTTACAGGGTTTCTTCACTTTTACTTCTCCCCGACCTGGGAATCGAACCTAAGACCTACAGTCACAGTCTTCCCACCTCTCGGCCAACGCGGCAGAAAATATTTGTTAAAAACACCAGAGGAGGTGTCAGTAATACAAAGGGTGTAGTATCCTCACCAAGAGGTTGACGGTGGCGGCCATCCGCTTGTCCCGGTGCTCGGCGCCCTGCATGACGGCGCGGTAGTTCCAACACAGAGGAGGTGTCAGTAATACAAAGGGTGTAGTATCCTCACCAAGAGGTTGACGGTGGCGGCCATCCGCTTGTCCCGGTGCTCGGCGCCCTGCATGACGGCGCGGTAGTTCCAACACAGAGGAGGTGTCAGTAATACAAAGGGTGTAGTATCCTCACCAAGAGGTTGACGGTGGCGGCCATCCGCTTGTCCCGGTGCTCGGCGCCCTGCATGACGGCGCGGTAGTTCCAACACAGAGGAGGTGTCAGTAATACAAAGGGTGTAGTATCCTCACCAAGAGGTTGACGGTGGCGGCCATCCGCTTGTCCCGGTGCTCGGCGCCCTGCATGACGGCGCGGTAGTTCCAACACAGAGGAGGTGTCAGTAATACAAAGGGTGTAGTATCCTCACCAAGAGGTTGACGGTGGCGGCCATCCGCTTGTCCCGGTGCTCGGCGCCCTGCATGACGGCGCGGTAGTTCCAACACAGAGGAGGTGTCAGTAATACAAAGGGTGTAGTATCCTCACCAAGAGGTTGACGGTGGCGGCCATCCGCTTGTCCCGGTGCTCGGCGCCCTGCATGACGGCGCGGTAGTTCCAACACAGAGGAGGTGTCAGTAATACAAAGGGTGTAGTATCCTCACCAAGAGGTTGACGGTGGCGGCCATCCGCTTGTCCCGGTGCTCGGCGCCCTGCATGACGGCGCGGTAGTTCCAACACAGAGGAGGTGTCAGTAATACAAAGGGTGTAGTATCCTCACCAAGAGGTTGACGGTGGCGGCCATCCGCTTGTCCCGGTGCTCGGCGCCCTGCATGACGGCGCGGTAGTTCCAACACAGAGGAGGTGTCAGTAATACAAAGGGTGTAGTATCCTCACCAAGAGGTTGACGGTGGCGGCCATCCGCTTGTCCCGGTGCTCGGCGCCCTGCATGACGGCGCGGTAGTTCCAACACAGAGGAGGTGTCAGTAATACAAAGGGTGTAGTATCCTCACCAAGAGGTTGACGGTGGCGGCCATCCGCTTGTCCCGGTGCTCGGCGCCCTGCATGACGGCGCGGTAGTTCCAACACAGAGGAGGTGTCAGTAATACAAAGGGTGTAGTATCCTCACCAAGAGGTTGACGGTGGCGGCCATCCGCTTGTCCCGGTGCTCGGCGCCCTGCATGACGGCGCGGTAGTTCCAACACAGAGGAGGTGTCAGTAATACAAAGGGTGTAGTATCCTCACCAAGAGGTTGACGGTGGCGGCCATCCGCTTGTCCCGGTGCTCGGCGCCCTGCATGACGGCGCGGTAGTTCCAACACAGAGGAGGTGTCAGTAATACAAAGGGTGTAGTATCCTCACCAAGAGGTTGACGGTGGCGGCCATCCGCTTGTCCCGGTGCTCGGCGCCCTGCATGACGGCGCGGTAGTTCCAACACAGAGGAGGTGTCAGTAATACAAAGGGTGTAGTATCCTCACCAAGAGGTTGACGGTGGCGGCCATCCGCTTGTCCCGGTGCTCGGCGCCCTGCATGACGGCGCGGTAGTTCCAACACAGAGGAGGTGTCAGTAATACAAAGGGTGTAGTATCCTCACCAAGAGGTTGACGGTGGCGGCCATCCGCTTGTCCCGGTGCTCGGCGCCCTGCATGACGGCGCGGTAGTTCCAACACAGAGGAGGTGTCAGTAATACAAAGGGTGTAGTATCCTCACCAAGAGGTTGACGGTGGCGGCCATCCGCTTGTCCCGGTGCTCGGCGCCCTGCATGACGGCGCGGTAGTTCCAACACAGAGGAGGTGTCAGTAATACAAAGGGTGTAGTATCCTCACCAAGAGGTTGACGGTGGCGGCCATCCGCTTGTCCCGGTGCTCGGCGCCCTGCATGACGGCGCGGTAGTCCAGGAGCCGCTCCAGCAGCCGCGTCACGCACGCGACGAAGGCCGCGCCCGCCTCGCGCCAACCTTCCGTCGATACACGCTCCATCAACCTTTATAATTGTAGAGGAAAATTATATTTATTGTTATTAATACGTAGATATAAATACGATGAGCGACAAATGTGTATTTTAGGTAATACTCGCATACGCTGTGAATTTTAATTTTGTTTTTATTATGTATCCCACTCAAAATATTTTTATTAACTAACAAAATCTTCGTGACAATTTATTTACATTAAAAGAAATTTCCTTTACAATTTACTCGAATTAAAAATACTTTAATTATAATTGTAAATTGTGGATACTTGCAATTGGAAGAAACTGTTCCAAATCATTGTGTAGTGACATTTTTGAAACACCAAACACTAGGACACGATTTCTTTTCTTATTATTTTTATTATTTCACACAATAACTCATAATATAACTGTATAATAACACAATAATATTTTAACAAGAGCGAATACTCTACGCGGAATATGGACTAAATTGACAGTTGGCGGAATGTAAAGTAAATTAGTACTATTTTAGTAACAGGTAATCAACGTGCAATTAGCATAAATAATGAGTTCAAATAGATATTGTTGTGTTTGTAATCGGTCGGTTTGATACTTACACTGAGCTCAAATGTTCCCTGAGTAGCGTGAACAATATAAATATTATTAGAAGAAGAATAGAAGATTATAAAAAGATCAGAGAAAATGTAAATTAGTGACACATCTGTAGAATGGATAAATAACAAGAAAAAATATACACATAATAATGTGTTAATAATAGTATGTATTTAATTTTAGTATTTAACCAAATTCTTTTTCTTTTGTTCCTCAAAGAATAACCGGGGTTGTAAATCTTATACAATTTTTATTCTTGTGGAAAATGTTTGCGGATGAGATTTCATGTCGTAGTCAATCAATTACAGGTAATTAACTACAATGAACATTGGAAAACGACAAACAGTTCTATTCTCACACATTTCTTTTGTTTCATCTATACTCTTACTTGTTCTTCTACATAGGAATCTACACTTTGGAACGAGCAAATAGCTTTACTAGAGGCACAGTATAATAAACATTTACCTTCCCCTTCCCCAATCTCCCCAATTCCTGAATCCCTAACGATCCTCAAACTCCTAATCCCCAAAAGGCCGGTAACGCACTTGTAATGGCTTGGTTGTTCCAGGTGTCCATGGGCGACGCCAATTGCTTACCATCAGGTGATCCTTCAGCTAGTTTACCGGCTTATGTCATAAAAAAAACATATAGTGGGACGACGCCTTTGATCTCGTGTAAAATGCCGACATCGTCTAGACAGTAACGCAATAGCCAGGGTTGTCAAAAATATGAGTTTATGGCACCGACTAGAAGTTGGTCAGTGGGTGAGTAACTCATCAGTACTAATATAGTTATTTTTTTGGTTTTTAGTTTTTATTTGTTTTTAGTTTTTAGGATTTTCAGAAGTCGGTTTCTTAAACGCAGTTTGTATTTTGCTATTTTATAATTTTTAGTGTAAAGCTACATAGACCCGTTTTGCCACTTATAATCCACATAGGTGCGAAGTTCTAATCAATACAAATTATACAAACTCAAACAAGTTAGTTACTCAAGCTAGTTACTGTACACCGTTGAAGAGTTACATTTCGACAGCACCATCAGTTTTACCACCTTTGAAAATCGTGAAAACGACACCCATGACGATAAACTGAAAATTTCATGCAGCCGCCATCTTGGATGTACATTTTGACAGCACCATCATTTTTAATATCACCCTCGAAAACCATGAAAACGACACCCATTACAAAAAGTTGAAAATTTCAGGTAGCGGCCATCTTGGATTTACATTTTGACGGCACCATCATTTTCGCCACCTTCAAAAACCATGAAAACGACACCCATGACGATAAATTGTAAATTTCATGCAACGGCAAACATACATCCATCTTTCTAACATAGTGCCTCCTCCTTTTTTTGAAGTTGGTAAAAACAAACACGCGTTAGCCCTGAATAATATATCCCGAGCTGCTAACATCGTTTTGTTCGCAGCTCGGGATCGGCCTATCCGCGTCTCGCCCTTCACACCCCGTACGATTGCCCTGTCTAGACGTCTTCGTTTGACGACTGTATAGACTGTGCTAGAGGGCTGACTGACGGATTGAATTTTTTTTTAATATTTCAATATTATGTTTTGACGTTAAAAAATTATTCCTGGTCTAATTGAAATAAATGCAGTCATTTATCAGAATCAGTTCTGACTGATTTTGATAACAATCACTTCTTGCACGCTTACCGATTTACAGCGCAATCAATAGAACACATATCAATAATAAATTCGACTGCACAGTTGGTGCGGTGGCTGGGCAACCGGCTGTCGTGCATCGTGCCGCGGGTTCGATTCCCGCACGGAACAACACTTAGTGTGATCCACAAATTGTTGTTTTGGGGTTGGACGTCATGTGTATGTGAACTTGTATGTTTGTGAACGCACCCACGACACAGGAGAAAATCCTAGTGCGATGCAACGTTTCAAAAAAATTTGATTTGACTTAACATAATTGAACCGAGTGGAACTTTTCTCAAATAATATTTAACGTAAACATTATACAACTACTCATCTTTGTAATTATTATACACCTATAATTCTTTTAACTACGTTAAAAAAATGACGTCCGCCCCACAAACACTTTTGTCGAAACCGCATCAAAATCGATTGAGCCAGTTGCTAGATAATCGTGCACAAACATACATACACACATAATTATACACATACTTACATACATTCATACAGGTCGTACCAAATACGTCTTTTTAAGTCATACTGATTGAAAGAGAGTAACCTATGTAGTTTCTTGCTCGTTCTTCTCCATAGGAATCTACACCTTGGAATGAGCAAATAGCTTCACTTTTAATATTATTTTTATTTTGACGTTCAAAAGTGCCATTCTGGCCTAATTGAAATAAATGATTTTGACTTTGACTTTAAATCGTTTAAAAAATAATTTATTTAGAAGTGTAGAATAATTTACATAGACATGTATTTTTTATAAGATTGGGCATAAAAATGGTAGACTTACACAGTATCAAATAGTCGTCGGTAGTGGTCATCCGCCTTGTTGTCTGCTACGAGTGAGTCCAATTTGTCGACCAATGCAGCCTCAGTACGTCGCGCGTGTCCCGCGTGCGCTCGCTCGGCTGCCATTAACGACACCAGCGCCCCTAGCGCCGCGCGACGAAGCTCGCCTACTAGGGTTATCTCTAGAAGAGCTCCTACTGCACCTGGTACTAAGTGCAGTTGGGCTGGACCTGTACCGCGATGAAAGGAAAGTTAATGTCATGTACAGTAACAGAATCAATTGACAGACCTACCTTCATTACAAGAAAACTCTGATACTGGTTCCATAATCCAGCAAGCAAGGGTACAATTGAGTACTAATTCGCACTTGAACTACTACAAATTATAAGTTCAGATCATGGTAAAGAGCATTTCTTACAAATCTGATTCTTAATCTAAAAGCACGATAGTACGAATGCACGGTTAGTGCGGTGGCTGGGTAACCGGCTGCCGCGCAACGGGTAGCGGGTTCGGTTCCTGTCCGGAGCAACTCTTTGTTTGATAAACAAATTGTTGTTTCGAATCTGGGTGTCATGTGTATGTGAACTTGTATATCTACGATACAGGACAAATTCCTAGTGTGGGACAACGATTTTCTTAAACGAATATTTAAGGTCTACTATCAACTTGAGTTTATTAGAATTCTGAAAATGAAACTCAAACTTATATATTTACAAAACTCACCTAATAGATTCCAAGTAGCCAGCACCCTCATTCCCGCTGCAGCGCGCATCCGCGGTCGGTCCGGTCCTCGCCCTGACCACCGCTCCGGTTGTAGTGCCGTAGATGTTACTAGAGCCACGCCCAGCTCCATGTAGCCTGACCATAACTACAAGAAAAAGAAAAAATATTAGACCTTACAATTTTTATACGGACTTCTAAACAAAAGCCCTACGTGACGATCTAGTTAACTACTTGATGCGAATTTCCTTTTTGTGTAACCCACTACAAGACATTGGTGTTTACAAAACCAATATTGTAAAGAAGAGTATAATTTGTTTGCTCTTACACTCGTAATTTGGATTTTAAGCTAATCTTATCAAGGGTTATAATTAATAATCAACAGATTTTTTTTATAAATCAACGTTACTTTTTACAACATACCTGTGAATCAAACTGCGGCGGTTCGTCTCCTAGGAATCTTTCGAGTAATGGTTGAGCGAGGTCTTGTAGAGCTGACAGAAGTACTTTACAGCTTTGTACCCGCAGTACCATCCAGTCTGCTGGGAACACCTGGTGCATAACAATAACCAAGTGTTTTATTAGATTGGCGACAACCACACAGCTCATGATTATGGGCCCTTGGTGTGGCTCGAAACTAATCGAGTAACATCATCAAATAGTTATGCACGTGAATAATAATTAAATAAATTTAAATGCAAAAATAGTAATGAATGGTTATTTTTTAAATTATTTAAGAAAATTAATATAATAAACACGTGTTGAAATGGCATGTTTCTTTGAAATATGATATTCTTAACTATAAAGGTACTAATGTCTATTTATACTCACGTCTTGTTCAATAAGATGCCTGAACACTAAGAAAGCTCTCATGAGGAAGTCTTTCAGTGGTTTCCGATCATGTGGGTGTGGAGCAAGATGGCTCCATAAACGCTGGTAGTGGACGGGTTTTAGTAGTTCCATTACACCCAGGAGACCAGCTACCATTGATCCCTGAGGAAAAAAGTAAAGTCCAAGAGGGTAAGTACACAGTGTAGTTAAGATGGTAGACAATGTCTATGATCCCTTTTTGTCGCGGATGGCTTTTAAAAAACGTAAATCTTCTCATCTGTGATCTCCGACCCGCTCGCCAAGCATAGATATGGCAAATCCTTCTTTTGTAGAGGAAGCCTGTGGTCCAGTAGCGGAATGTCATGGACTGAAGGTCATGGACATTTAAATAATAGTAGAAATAGTTACTCACAAGCACAGGTGAATTTCCTCCAATCAGATGCAGCACAGTCTCCACCAACACATCTAAGGTGTTGAGACAGAGTACATCGACGTCGGGATCCAGTTCATCATCCTCCACGGGTCGGTCAGGGTCTGGTTTCTTCCACAACAGAGCCACTAGTTCTCCTATCATCTCAGCACATTGTTGTAGCTCGTCCCGTCGTGCTAGGTGCACCCGTAAGTGGTGACAGGCCGTTGTTAGGATTATGTTTCTTGCCTCTGTGAAGTTATTAAGATAATATTAGGAAATTATTAAATTAATTAATTAATAAAAAAAATTACGATTTTTGATGGGATCTTTAAAAGCTATTTGGGAAGAAAAATTAAGGAATGTGGGATGGCTATGGATATCCTTATCCTTACTTCCTGACTAATATTATAAATTGGAAAGTGTGTTTGTTTGTTTGTTCCGCTTTCACGCCGTAACTACTAAACCGATTGCTTTGAATTTTTGCAGACGTAAAGTTAGAAGTCTGGATTAAATAATAGGATACTTTTTATCCCGGAAAAATTTGATATTCCCTAGGGAAAACAAAAGTATTAGTATAGATGGGGCTGTGTGTCTTGGTATATGTCACATAGGCTACTTTTATCCTTTTGTGACGCAAGCGAAGCCGCGGGTCAAAGCTAGTATAAGATATTGGATATCCAACAGTTTGATTCAAAACTTCATGACGACCGATTGAAAAAAGAAAAAAGAAAATTTGTAAAGCGATCTTTACTGAAAGTTTTAAAGTCGCAATTCATAGTAAGTTCTCGACTTATTTACGGTAAGGAACTGCTTTACGTCAGTCAAAAAGAAAATGTAGTCGAAAGTAAAGGACCGATCATTTAGTTTTACAACGATAGTAATGCTTAACAGTAACAAACAACGCCAATGACGATGACTAACTTTCAAAAGAATCCTTACTAATATTATAAATCGGAAAGTGAGTTTTTTCGTTTGTTTGTTCCGCTTTCACGCCGTAACTACTTAACCGATTGCTTTGAATTTTTGGAGATGTATAGTTAGAAGTCCGGATTAAATAATAGGGTACTTTTTATCTCGGAAAAGTTTGATATGCCCGAGGGAAAACAAAAGTATTGGTATAGATGGCGCTGGCCTGTCTCCCATGGGGGTAGGCAGAGACTAAGGAACGCCAATTACTACGATTCTTACATACCTCTTTCGCTTCATTAACAGTCATCAATCTTTTCATGCATGCTCGTCGGTTAAGGGTACTTTTAATTTGGCCCTTCTTTAATATATCGCCAATCTGGTCACTATATGTCCGTCTAGGGCGCCCTCTACCGACGGCCCCATTCATATCCGCTCTGTATACTTCTTTCGTTACTCTACTTTCATCCATCCTTTCTACATGTCCAAACCAGCGTAACATTCCCTTTTCAATCCTTGTCACTACATCATCTTTCAATCCACACCTTTCTCTAATAACACTATTTTTCACTCGATCACTCAATTTTAGTCCACACATACTTCTTAGGGCTCTCATTTCCACCGCATTAATCCTGCTTTCATGCTTCTTCTGCCACACCCATGATTCACTACCATACATAAGCGTTGGTGTCAATACACACTGCATGGGACACCTCCGCCCACGACGACATCAGGGCCACCTGCCCATTGGGATGGTGACAGGGTGTGAACATTCACAATATAATTAGTCCGTAACTTAGGTAATGACAAAATAATAGACACATAATTTTTATTTTGTCGTTCAAGAAAACAATACTAAGATAAAACGTATGAAAATTTAGGAGTGGGGGTTAAAACGCCATTTCTACGCATAAAATGTACATAGAAGTGACGTCACGCGACATTTCAAATCAATATATCGTCGAAAGTATTCGTTTCCGTAAGAAAATAAAAAATACGTGTCTAATGATTTGAAATAATCTACCAAACGAACTAATGTCCTGTGTTTTCATTCAATTAAGGGTAAAATCTTATTAAGAGATCTAAGTACATAAGGTGTGTGCTAAGAAACCGTTGGATATATCTGATACATGTTAATACATCCTTGTTACTCATAAGTAATATCATAATACTTTTGCGCAATATTTTCAAACTTTTTGTACAAAAAATTAATTCAGTAGTTTGGATAAAATTTATATTAGTTCATTTTACATAATCTCAGTAGTAGCATGGAGTCTGGAATTGTGCCGGTATATGGCAATAGGCTCACCCCCTATTACATGGGACTCATAACATAAATAGTGAAAAGTGGGTGTTACATTGTAGTGGCATAATGTACACCTCTGCCTACCCCTCCGGGAATAAAAGGCGTGATGTTATGTATGTAAGAAAAAAAACAACCAACAAAATGTAACAAACCTGAGCCGGTGCAAGATGTTCTTTATAAGGGTGTTGCGCAAAAGCTTTTAGCGCATGTAGTGCGGCCCTGACATCTCTTCTAAAGCTATCTTCATATTGTCCACCAGTAGCTCTAGCGAACAATCGCCTAGACCTTACAGCCAGCCTGAACACTGCGCCTAGAGAACGTAGACACTTGCGAATTGGTTCCTGACCCTCGGCACTAGCTGCCCATTCTGCACAATGTTGTACTGATGACAGAAGGCCTCTGTAATTGAAATGAGAACACATAATGTAAAGAATAGATTTCATATTTACGGCAAATGTTATGTAGGTAATTTAGAGGGAATGTCGAAATAGGTACACAAGTAACTGTAATATTTTTATCACTTATCACTTGCAGCCACTTTTAGAGCAAGTGAGGAGAATTTGCGTAATGTGTTTATAGTAATAATTATATTCAAAAATTACTTACTTGTAAACTAGAGCTGCAGAGAAGTGTTCTTCGATGTAAACATCTAGTACCGGCCTAAAATGTTGAAACCGACTCTCGTCTAACAAGCTGCATATCGATATCAGAACCAGGAACACTGTGCCTGAATGTGGAGTGCTGGAAATAAAGGTTATTATTGGTTTAACCATATGACTAATTCAATTACAATTTTTTATGGCATAAGTCGGTTAACGAGCAGACGGATCAACCTGATGGTAAGCAATCGGCGTCGCCCATGGACACCTGGAACACCAGAGGCGTTACAAGTGCGTTACCGGCCTTTTGGGGATTAGGAGATTGAGGGTCGTTGAGGATTCAGGAATTGGGGAGATTGGGGAAGGGGAGTGTAATTGGGCCTTCAGTAACCTCACTCACACGACGAAACACAACGCAAGCGTTGCTTCATGTCGGTTTTCACTCTGGTCGAGCCGGCCCATTCGTGCCGAAGCATGGCTCTCCCACACTTAAAATTTATATTGTAATGAAATTCAATTGCAAACACAATATAACTTGCCTATTTCCATCTTCAGTGGAGAATAACGCGAATAATGCGTCTAATACATCTCTGAGGAACTTGATAAGCTCTTCGCAGCTGAGTCCGTCGCCTAGTCTCAGTACTCGGAGTAACGTCTCTTGCACCTTCTCTGGACGGGCGCGCCATTGAAGTAGGGCTAGGAGATCCTCTGTGGAGATACAAATGATACGTTTTAGTAAATAATTGTAGAAAGAAAACCATCTATCTTCTGTATTCTTTTGTATAGGGGCAGTATATACGATTCTTGCATGTCTATTAAACATGACAGCTGACAAATAAGACAGAACAACGCTTTAAAGTTGAATATGAAAATTTCCGTACATTAATTATGCTTTAATTTCATAAATTAAATAAAAAATGAAACCGATCATTAACCAGTGTTATTTATTTATTTATCATTTATGTACACACATACAACACATAATAAAAACGAGGTACATAGGCCCCACATATTCCAACTAGAATTTCTCCCTGTGGGCCTGTGGCAGGAAAAGAAATAAAGACGTCGAGAAACAGGGTGTTACACAAATAGAATAAAAAAAAATTAAAAACAAACAAATGTTAGTCAAAACGTCAAAGCAAAAAAAAAAATAATCCCTAATTAGTCACTTTTAAAACGTAAAAATTTAATTGTCCGTCCGCCGGTTTGCCAGTAAAGCTAGGCGCTCATTCCAAAGTGTAGTTTCGAATGGAGAAGAACGAGGAAGAAACTCCATCTCTATAGTATACTATCACAAATACAGGTATTAATTAGAGAAATGTAGCCGACGTTTGACGTTCTAAAGCAATGCACATAAAAATCAGTACATATTTTCTCTCCTTAGATAATAATTTTGTTTACCAAACAACTTATTATTCAAAAACAACCTTGCTACAAGGACTCGCATGACCTATATATTAGATGCGTAGTTAAATTAACGGCGTTTGAACTCCCGACCTCTTGATTGGCAGTCAGTTATTTAGCCATTAAGATTTAGTCACATGATACGAGATTGTGTTACGAAGCGGGAAATAATTGAGGTGATAAACGACGAAGCCATGAAGGAATATATCTCTGTAGTTTGTTTAATATGTACTTATACAGAAATAAACGTAGGTTTATTCTTATACACTCATTGCATGTCTGTGAGCAGTATCTCGTTCGATTTCCATGTCAAATAATTCAATTATTAAGGGGGGAAAATCATCGAATGAAAGTTCCCGCCTGGGTGAGGGAGGGAGTTTCAGACTCTTACTGACTAAAAACCACCCCGTTCCTTCTCGCTTCGAGCCGGAGCTCCGGTAACCCGTTAGGTTCTCCGCGACAACAAAATCGGGTTAGGACCGGAGAATCTATGAACTTCTCGTTACTAATTTTAATCATTGGAGGAGGACTAATTGTAATGTTCCGAAATGGATGTCTAGTGCCTGTTATAGTGATGATGATCAGTAGTAAAACGGACTAAACCTAAGACGAGTGTTTCTACACCAGTCACATCAAAAATCAGTTCATAATCTTGAACACGTTAAACGCCATGGCAGTCACCGGTGACTGGGGACCGATATTAGCGGAGGATTTGCCTTCAACAGTTTTTTATTGGCAGCCAATGCCTTAAAGAAAGAGCTCACCATTTTGAGTTAATTTAGTGGAGCACAGCAGGGTGCTGATGGTGCAGTTTTCTTTGGAACTTCTTTGGAATGTTGGCACCACGCCGTTGACGGAGCCCGCGCGGGCACTGTCTGCCGCGCACGATGGCAGGGAGAGGTAGCTCGCTGATGTCAATCTGGGTAAGAAAATATGAGATAAGGTACTGAAATAAAACTGTGTTAAGGTAGTAGATACAAAATTATGCTAGTTGTTTATTTATTTATTTTTTCTGCACACAAAATTACAGCGAATGGCGGACTTGCTTTACAGCATTTTCTTACATTCAACCATAGGGAACTGCAGAAAAATGAAGCGGTTGATGCGAAGCCAGAACACAATTTTAAAACATAAAGAATGTAGTTAATTACTTCATCCTTAACCCAACGACATTATAGAGACAATTAAAGAACAATACTGCCTCGTTGGCCGAGTGGTCGCAAGTGCGGCTGCCGAGCAAGGGGTCTCGGGTTCGATTCCCGGGTCGGGCAAAGTATTACTGTATAGTAGCACGGAGTCTGGAAATGTGCCCGGTATATGGCAATAGGCTCACCCCCTATTACATGGGACTCATAACATAAATAGTGAAAAGTGGGTGTTACTTCTGTGTGCACCTCTGCCTACACCTTCGGGGATAAAAGGCGTGATGTTATGTTAAAGAAGGTTGTGGTCACCGGTGTCCTCACGGTGTTTGACAGTTTAAATAATATGTAAACTGTATAGGTATTTGTGGCTTTCAACTAAATTCAAAACATTCGCTAAAGGTATGTGAACTGGGAACGTTTACAGTAAACAATTATATGGTAAAAACGAATGAAAAGTGTAATAAAGGTTAAATAATTATCGTTACAGCATCAAGATTCTCCTATTACAAATACCAATTAAAACTTCTTTATTTGTATACTAGTTACATGCGTTAGCAGAACAAAATCTTAGATAGGATTGCTTGCTCAAGCATAGTTATTGTTGACTGTCTAAAAAGTAATAAATTGTCATGTTTATGTATACTTACTTGGTAGGATCGTCACACTTGTACACGTATAGTTCATGCGCTCCGTCCCTCAGAGTAGCACCGCTAGCTTCCATCAGTCGGGCGAACGCGAAACCATACAGTTTCCTCTCAGTTTTGTCTCTTGCTGTAAAAATAAAGCAATCGGTATTTACTTACGTCCAATTTCAATAACCTATCTATCTGTAGATTTGCTTACTAGAGATAGGATTTTGACACATTTTGTGTGGAGCTCATGCCAAAATTCTATCTCTAGTAAGCAAATCAACAGATAGATAGGTTATTGAAACTGGTTGTTAATAAGGTTCTAATTAATGTTAGAGAAAACTTTAAACTATATCGACGTTATTTAGTTTATTTCTTTTGCTAGTCGTGTAGACTGTTTTCTTCTTTTTGCCCTAATCCCACGTTACGTAGGGTCGATAATCCAGAATTCTGATGAATGTAACGATGATAATGATGATGAAAAATTATTATCATTTTAGATTTCACATGATTTTGCGACTTAGCACCTACCTTAGGTCACCGGCAGCTTTTCATAGTATAAGCAGCTTATGACTTGCAATATTAATTAAATCAATAGATTATACTTACTAGAGCAATGCCTAAACTCGATGCGGACATGTGCATTAGTGAATGTCTCCAAGGGCACAGTGAGTCGCAGGTGCTCTCCCCACGCCGGACTGTTGTTGTGGTACAGTACCACCGACTCGTACGACGTGGAACCATTGCCACTTGCACCCCATACACATTCCTGTAGTCGATGATTATGGTCAGGATTAACTTACATATTTTGCAACGAAAGCGACGACTTATTAGCGGGTAGCATAATGTATTATTTTAAAAGTAGAATTATGTCAATAAAAACAATATTTCGTAAAATAATGTACCTAATTCATTTAAAAAAATAATACCTAAGTATACTTGAAGTGTTCAATATATTTTAGCGTTTCATATCATTACGTATAAATAATCTATAATATAGTAGTGGTTGTTTTAGCTCGATGAATAGCAGATGGCGCTGACAGTCGCAATGTACTAAATTAAACGATAAAAGTATTAATGCGGCAGAAAACTCGTTTGGTGTAGTTTTCAAACAAATGGCTTTCTAATCAGCGATGATAGTAAATAAGAAATGAAAGCTATATTAACCTCAGTTGATTAGCGAAGTATATACAAATAGCTTTTTAACGATAACTGGAAACTTTAATTCGGTCGATTGATAAGCACGATATTTTCAAAGAACAGTTCACTAAGAACTGAGACTACTGACTAAGACTGCCTCATTGGCTGCGTTGTTGCAAGTGCGGCTACCGTGCAAGTGGTCTCGGGTTCGATTCCCGAGTCGGGCAAGTATTACTGGGTTTTTAAAAAAAATCTCAGTAGTAGCACGGAGCCTGGAAATGTGCCCGGTATATGGCAATACATAAAATAGTGTAAAGTGGGTGTTACATTGTACAGTGGCATTAAGTACCGTATGTGGACGTAATTTTATGTATTCACTAAGAAGTTTGTAGCAAAAAGAACTTACATTAATAACCTGTCCGGTACTATCATGGACAGTGACAGTTGCTAGAACATTCTTCGCCGTGCTTTTCCCGCCTCTTTCAAACTCTGCTTTCTCCAACGTCAGGTAGAGGTCGTTGCGGACGTCGCCCGGCATGATGACGTCAGGAAATCCTCGTTTAGCAGTCACGGTGGCCCCGGAACCAACGGCTTCTGATATGCTACCAGCATTTGATAAGAGACGCAGGGCTACGACTATGCCTGTAAAGAATGGTTGATAAGTAAATCATTAATTATTGGGTTTTATTTACGACTTTGCGGTAAATTAACCTATTTCCTTCCTTGTACTCTAAGCAACATGTATGCAAGATTATTTAAGTAGATAAAGCGTAATGAGGTAACAAACAAGAAGTTTTTAGCATTAATATTTATTAATCCTCGATTATGAATAATCTACAATTGTTCATACAAAAGTAGTCTCTCAATATCAGAAATAAGGTATATAATGGGGTAAGTGGTTTCCGTTGACCGCTTGGGGACTGGGCAGAGTATTGTGCGATTGATCCGCTAGACGGACTCTTTGTGTGATCCATAATTTTTTTTTATGGTATAAGCCGGTAAACGAACACAAGGATCACCTGATGGTGCTTACCATGCACCGGCGGTGCAATCGGCGCCTCCCATGGCCACCTGGAGCACCAGAGGCGTTACAAGTGCTTTACTGGCCTTTTTGGATTAAGAATTTGAGGATTGTTGGGGACTCAGGGATTAGGAAAGTGGGGGAGGGGTAATTGGGCCTACGGTAACCTCACTCACGCGACAAAACACAACGCACGCGTTGTTTCACGTCGGTTTTCTGTGAGGCCGTGGTATCACTCCGGTCGAGCCGGCCCATTCGTGCCGAAGCATGGCTCTCCAACACTTAACAGTTGTTCCTAGTCTCGTTACCATGTGTGTGTGCGCGACAGTCTGAGTTCTTTTATAGTAATTAATAAACAGTATCTTAATTTGTCCAATTCTGAGTCAATTGAATCTAGATTACCATCGACACGCTAAGCTAAGAAAGGTTAATTTAGTTGAACACAACTATGTCTCATTTTGAGATTTAAAAAAGAAATCTGATTGACCAATGTTTGAGGAAAATCGTAGGTTTAAATAAAATTACTCTAATGTTCAAATAATCAAACGCAACTGAATTTTAAGTGGCACGATATTTAAATCTTCGGCCGTCAGAAGATCAATCGCCTAAAAAATATAGTTCAAAAATTGGACACATCTACATCTTAAACTACATGAGCCAATACGTTTATTGCCATGTAGTACAACACAGAAGTATGAAAAGCAGATGTTTTCACAAACAGGTGTACTTTCTGTTCCTTACATTTCAAAAGTCTATAGGACAAACATCCGATGGCCCACAGGACACACACCTGTCCTTTTCGAAGGTCAGCCAAAATTATTATTACTACAAAACTTATTTGATTTCTTCACAATCGCATTATACGTCACTTGTATTATAGCTACGAGAATACCGTATGAATATATTATGTAAATCAAGATTTATGTGTATAAATACTACGTTGTATTTAATTACCGATGTAAAATAAATTGTCGTCTTCCTGCAATTATTTGATGATGCTATCTTGTAGTTAATTTGTTCATTGATACTTTTAGTTGGGGGAGACTTCGTGACAAGCGATTAACATAAAGTGCACGCGCATCCTACTGGAACTCGGTTTTTCTTTTAAATGTACTTTATAATATAATTATTTACTACAATTTTAGTGCGATAGTTTATTTTGCAAGGACGGTGACAATCATGAGTTAACAAGATCCAATAATACCAGGTCGAACAATCCAGGCAAACGATCCAATTTAAAACGGAGTGCGAGGTTGGCTTACCTACGTCCACCAGACTAACAAGACCGAATATTTAATTTTTTTATGGAATAGAAGGCAAACGAGCGGACGAATCACCTGATGGTAAGCAATCAGCGTCGCCCATGGACACCCGTAACACCAGAGGAGTCACAGGTGCGTTGCCGGCCTTTTAAAAAGGAATGTTTTCCTTCCTAAACTGTCGACACTGCTACAATATAAATAAGATAGTCTACAAGTCTAGACCAAAGTCTAAGCTAATAGATATGCAGTAGACATTCTCTTGTTTCCCAGAACAGGTGCCAGACAGGTTCTTGACGTAAGCTACGTTATCTAATGCTTGCAATTTACTCCGTGACATAATATTATCTGACTTGATTAGCGAGTATATAAGCTGTAAGCCTTTAAGAGGATTTATTTTTCATCCTAAGTTCTTAAATAACTTAAAGATTCTAAAGCAATTTGTAATGTGTAAAAGTATTCAAGGCCTCTTGAGATGAGGGGCTTGATAGCTGCACAGTTTAATTTGTCATAAATAACATCTATATCATAGAGGCTGGGTTTAACGAAAATCTTTATATTTTCTTCATCGACTTTTTTTTGAGGGGGGAAATTATCCAATGACTTCTCTCGCTTGGGTTTTTTTTGAAGGAGTGTCAGACTCTTACTGATTAAAAAAACCCCCCGTTTCTATTCCTGCACTTCGAGCCGGAGCCCCGGCGACCAGTTAAGTTCTCCGCGGCTCCGTATCGGCATTAGCCCTATCTGTCGTGGTCTGATGGCTCTTTGAGGCACACGCGGAACGCAACGCGCCGTACGCTCGGGTCAGGTTTTGGTTGGTCGGCGAACACGGTGGCTGGAAATCGTCTCGTGATCCCCGACGCCCAAAGTGTCTCTCGTGACGGCAGGGGCGTGAGGAGGTTTGTTCCTTCATGCGCTCCACCTTTTCCTTAGCTAGCATGACTGCTTCACAGAAGAAGGAGACGGCATCCCAGTCCCTCTCGCTCCGTACCATATTTTGAACTTGAGTCGGACGCGAGAGAGATTGCTGTCGCCGATCACACCTCTGAGGACACGGCAGTGCTCAGCCCACGCAGGGCATACCGCCCCCTTATGTATGTATGTATTTTTTATGGACTAGGGGCCAACAAATCGCCTGGTGGTAAGTAATTAGCGTCACCCATGGACAGTCGCAGAAACAAAGGAGTTACAGAAATGTTACTGCTTTTAAGTACGTTATTTTCTTGAAGGTTTGCAGATTGTATTGATACGAAGCCTCAGTTTATGGGATTTGTATTTTTTCCAAGTTAGGTTAAAGGCACAGGTCTCGTGATTAAGCGTTACAGTAAATATATTCAATAAATATTTTTCCTGCAATATTATGACTTACCATAGTTGGGTTGTCCGGGGAGAATATTGCATTTATTTGTTTGTTTCCTTATTAGCATGTCATGTAGCTGATGGAAGTCTTTCTCTTCGCATTGATACACCTATGAACAAAATTGGTAATAAGTACTGTGCAGATGACTAATGCTTAAAAAAAGCATATTTTTGGACCTATTTAGACCACACAATAAATTGGATACACATAGACTTTCCATGTTAATATCTCATCAGGAAAAATATAGTTACGTGACCCATCACACGTCGCGCAGCCGGCGGCCCAGTCATTGCACCGAGCATGATACCTAACTTACTCAATACCTAGTTACCTCAGCTGAACCAAAGGAAATTACAGTCAGACATACAGATCAAACATTGTGACAGATAAAACTAAATAACACCTATTGTTAATGGGACAAGCCCGCCACGGTCTTAAAATACGACTGCAACTCCTGTAAGCCAGGACCAGGATCTACAATAGATACAACCAAGAAAACATCGGAACACTGAAGTCCGGCGCGTCCCAGAGACATGAATAATTGTCTTGGTTCTAGCAACGACATGAATCAGAAGGTATCAGAAATATAAAGAAACTAGGTTCCACTTCCCTCGGTTATTACTGCAGGAGACAAAATGAACTAAGCTCAAAGGAACAAAAAGAGACTGTACATTTAAATCACTCACTTTAAACGTATATTCTTTCTCCCCAGGATGTTGTCCAGGTTGTCTTAAGAACTCAGCTAAAGGTAACACTCCAGCACCCAAAGGTCTTCTGGCTACTGGACCTCGTCGCTCCCCTGTCCCACTGCCGCTGCTACCGGCTCCAGCCCAACGCCCCACTCGTATCACCCACGCGACCAGCCATAGCTCTCTCGAGAGATCCGTCGTTGATAGATCCTGGAAGAAATGTTGATTTTAAACTGGTTTTAACTTTTAATATATGGTGTATTTTAACTTTACTGCCTCGTTGGCCGAGTGGTCGCAAGTGCGACTGCTCAGCAAGGGGTCTCGGGTTCGATTCCGGGTCGGGCAAAGTATTACTGGTTTTTTTTATTATATTCTCAGTAGTAGTAGCACGGAGTCTGGAATGGTGCTCGGTATATGGCAATAGGCTGACCCCCTATTACACGGAACTCATAACATAAGTAGTGAAAAGTGGGTGTTATATTGTACAGTGGCATTAAGTGTCGTACACTCTGCCTACCCCTTCGGGGGTAAAAGGCGTGATGTTATGTATGTATTTTAAAGTGCTATGAATGTTTCTACTATTAACTGAGACTTATAACCAACATTATTTTTCTAAGGGTATGCTCATCTACCTCTATATTACTTTTAAAAATTTTAATCACCATTAAATATGTGCTAAAATATTATAATCCAAAAAAAATACAACATTAAGATGTTGACGTGTGATTTCATTGTCAAAAAAAAAACCATAAAAAGTTATTAGGGAAAACCTACTAAAAAAATTTAACACAAAGTTAAAACCTTAGTAGTTTCACCTAGTTTCTTTAATGCAAAAAGCAGATGTATTATTATACTATAACAACCACCTGCATAAAGTTTCCATTTACAAATACATTCTAGCCTAATTAGCAAGAACGAAATACGAAAACAGGAAGTTTTAAACATGGTTTGTAATCAATATTATTATAAAGGTAATACCAATTAAACAAATATATGTATGTATTGCATATCGCCTTATCTTTAACTCAACTGCAGTCCTGTAGCAAAAACAGGTAAAGAGGTACGTTATGTTATCGACACCGGACCATACACCGCATTGAACCAGTTTCATTGCCTTAACCTGAATGACGTTTTACGAAACGATCATATTACAATTAAAAATGTCGACGCGCAATGTTTACTTTTTAAACACAAGCATTATGACAAGGATGTAACTTAATGAAGCTCGGTTCATTAATGTGCAATCTCTATCTAGATCTATACATTTAATATAGATACCATTTTGTTTTATTTAACTATATCAATTAAAAAGCTATACAGTATTATTTTTCCTCCAATAAAACCTTATCGAAGCGAAACTTTATCAGCGGTGGAGCGTGAAACGACTCCTGATTAATTTGTGTTTAGCTTACTATAAATATTCATAATAAAACAATTGCCATTTCACCTGAGGTTAAATGAATAAATCGATGACCTGGAAAATGTTATGTTTTTGTAATACAAACATAGGTATACAGTTTAAAGATCACATAGTCGGCGTACCTACCTAGTACCTACTCTAATATCAATTTGTTTGCGGTTATATGTAGAACTAGGGCGCCAAATACCTTTAAGTTTAGTGTACTACATTATTTACATGTATATTAATTTCTATTTTCAAGCTTTAAGTAAGTAATATCTTCCTAGTGCGTCAGACAGAAGCAAATCTTATTGCTTTTGTGAAGTAAAAAAAAACCGACGTGAACCGGTGTTCCGGGTGTACATGAGGGAAAAAAAAAACTTACCATTAGGTGATCCGTCTGCTCGTTTACCAGCTCATCCCATAAAAAGCGTATTGTCAAAGCTTGGACCACAATATGAAATACGATTACCAATGCCTTTCAAGAACCTTAAAACGTTAGGGTCATAAAATACCCTAGTCTCTTAAACTAAATACTTACCGCAAATAAGGTACTGTTAGCATGCAATCTATCCACGTAGTTCGAGAATCCATCTCTGGCTATTCTGATCCGGAATCTCTCTGACAAAGGTTGAGCTCTTCTTGCGTCGTGAAGCCAGAGGAGCAGTTCCGCTTCATCTCCGCCCGCAGTATGCCCAAAGTCCCTCATACTGCACATGAGGTGGTGGGACTGGACTGTGGTGCTGGAAGTGATGGAGCTGTTCGAGGTGAGTGTGCCTGAGTTGAAGCTGCTGCCTGATCCGCCTGCTCGGCGGAGTGTGCCTCGCCACTGGAGAAGAAATATCATTGTTTAAGTACTACAATAAAAAAAATATATTATTACGAAATGTATTTATTTATCAATATGACCAACGCGACTTCCATGTACCTAATACGAAATTCAATGTAAGACAAGGACAAGAGAAATTTGACAGTTTGTAAGTAACATAGTATAAATTAAATAGTTTTGTAGGGTCTTACTTCTAAGCAGCACGTAAAAATTTGATCCAGTATTACACAGCTTGTAGAAAGTCAATAACATGATACATACAATTTTAAACACATTTTAAAATAAATATACAAGAATAATTTACCTACACGCATTACAACATTCAAAAATATAAAAATAATCACACCCACAACTCATTATGAACCATTAAATTGCAAATTCAATTTAGATAGCAACATTTGATTATGATGCCTAGATTTAACAGAGCAATGACCTATAAGATGACTTGAGATTCTAGCTTAGATCCAATGTCCAAGCTCGGTTCACTCAAAAAGATACTTTGTCGTGAGTTCATTAGGCGCACGAGTCTACAAGACAAGTTTTCTTCATCCATAATAATACAGGAACAAGTTAGAGTCTGGTTTTATGTGGAGCGACTGTCTACCATCCGCAGTTATTAAGGGAACCGGGTTTGAGCACTATTGCTTTGTGAAACTGGTTATAAGTTTAAAGTTGTTACTTATTTAACAAACAGTTTTTTGCGAAAGGCCCTAGCTATAGTTCTATGGATAGAAGATTTTCAAAACCTATATAACATTATAACAAACAAAGCCACATAAATGTCCACAAATGTATTAGTGGCAATAAAATCCTCCTAAGGGTGCGTCCACAATTGACGAATGCTCCGCAACGGTGGACCTCGCAAGCCGTCTGCGAGCTGCGTGCGTGCATTCAATTCAGTATTATATACATATACGACCTTTGAATGAGTTGAGCATCAAACCGTTACCGTGACTACAGCGCGCAGCTTGTGTGCAGTCTGCAAACGGCTCGCGAGCGGCAAAGCTGGTAAAAAGTGGAGGAGCAAAATAACCCTGACTATTGCTTGAGCAATAAAAGGCAAAATTCCATATTTATATCTAAGTATGTACCTACTTCGTACACAAGATAAGCGGTACCATATGTTACTGAGTTATGAAACCCGACCTCTCTTAAATCACTTAGTTACATACTCCATAAATGGCGATGCAATATTACTGGCAAGTAAGCACTGATTCGCTGACTGGTATTAAAAGAAGTCGTGGCATGTTTGTAAGACATCAGCTATTCATTAAGTCTGTAATGAAGTGTGGTTCATTAAACCTATATAGTACCTACCTACTACATACTGTATCATAGGTTTAGTATGTAGGTAGAAATGAATCTGCTAAAGTTTAAAAAAAGTCTTGAATTAGTTCATGGATCACCAGCAAAAGTGGCATGACAAAATTGGGTAAATGTAACACTAACGTTTAATAGTCGCGACTGTGACCACAATAAGAAAGGGACAGCCAAAGTATGATATCTTTGTAAAAATTGCATTTTCACAGAGAAATGAGTCCCATTTCATTTAGTCGGAGTCTGGAATTGAGTCCAGTATTGGAGTGAGCTCCATACTGTAACGGCCATTTTATTGCGTGAAGGGATAGTCAGAGTATTTTTGCACCTCCACTTTTTACCAGCTTTGATAATCATAAGGGTGCGTCCACATCTGTTGAATGTGCCGCTCGCGAGCCGTTTGCGAGCTACCTGCAAGCTACGTGCGTGCAGTCACGGTAATGGCTAATAACAAAACTGGTGAAAAGCGGTTATTAAAAAAATCCCTATAGCCACAACCTTTTCCTGGAATTTATTTGTTTACGATGTTTTACACAATGATTGATTGAATTACTCGTTTCTTATTCATTCTAGTAATACTGAAGGTACATACCAGTACAACATTCATTCATTACCAAGAATATGAAATGAAATGCATGCACAGGAAAAACGACGAACCTACTAGCATAGCCTTGTTAAAAAACATTTGTTTAAAGTAGGTACAATATTATTTAGTATAACATTTTATTTCTTTTTTATAAAGACATCGTTGTAACCACAGTTTTTGGGCGCGAAAGACTAACCAGTGAAATATTTTTCTAAATTGCTTGCTATCTGTCAAGTATATCCCCTCTGGTGTTGCGGGTGTCCATGGACGGTGCTGACCGCTTATCATCAGGTGATCCATCTGCTCGTTTGCCTCCTACTCCATAAAAAAGTAGTGAGAGCTAAGACCATAATATTGAACTCATAGCAACCACAATTACTACTAGACTGATACTGGATACATATATAATAAAATATCCTTAATTACCATTTAATGATGACGACGTAATTAAATTCTCAGACGCGTTATAAACTTGAACTTGTATTTATAGCATTTAAGATATTAAATATTAGTAACGGTTTTATAGTTTCCGGTGAGAAGAAAAGTATTATTGATATAAAAGAAGTATATTATATTAAGTTCTCATGATGAACGTTTACGAGTGCATGTCGATATGATGGTAGGATGGGAAAACATTAATGTGAATGCAGTTGCTAGATGCCGTGTTTATGAATCCGAAGTTTTATCAAATTCTTAGACTTTTTAAGACCAATGAGAGACTTTCAACTGTCTACCCTTTTTAGTTGACAATAATCGAATTTGATACTAGTACTGCCTGACTAAAAACCACCCTATTCCAATTTTTGGTTCAAGCCAGAGCCACGATAATTAAGATATGTTTAATCTCAGCGAATGGCTTAAAAATAAATTCTAATTGTCCAAGCCTGGAAATGTAAATAAGATACTGGACTCAAAAAACCCTATATACAAATTACACTCGGTAATAGGTACCTAGGCAACTAAGCAACTAATACCTTCATAGAAAATAGGTAAAGGTTTAAACAACAATACAATATGATGACATTAACACTAAAGAACATGCTTAAGTATAACATGTCCCTAACTTGTTTGACAGGTGCCCCGATGTCGTCTGTCTCAAGTTCCCAACTTACAGTTAGTCCAATAGCTTTATTTCTTCCTTTGTTTTAAGAAGAACAACGGTTCCTATGATATTACGCAGTATTGATTTTGTTAATAATAATTGCTGAATTCGGATGCTATTTGCTTTCTATAGAGAATTAAGGCTTGTAGTCAAGTGTTTAACTTTTTCGTCTAATTATAGGAAAAGTGACGAAGTGATTTCAAAAATATAGCAGAGCACCACAAAAGGGGCCTAGTAGGTCTGATGCCCGATACGGAGCCGCGGAAGGCCTATCGGGTTGCTAGAACGGGGTGGTTATTAGTCAGTAAGAGTCTGACACTCCTTTTTGTCTAACTAAAGGTGGCAGAAGTAATTGATTTTCCCCCTTCAAAAAAAAGGAGTCTAACTTCCGGCCAACCTCAGTAATCAATCTTGCGGTGGATTTGTCAACTAATGATTTTTTTTGGGAACCTAGTCTCCAATACGATTTCAACCATTGTATTGGAGACTTTCAAAGATAAGGTATTCGAGACAGATCATTAGTCACTTTGAAAGTCGCCTCTTGAAATGTCCGAAACTGGTCACTATTTTTTTTTTTTTTTTTTTAAGGGGGGAAAATCATCGAATGACTGCCCCCGCCTGGGTGAGGCGGGAGGGAGTGTCAGACTCTTACTGACTAAAAACCACCCCGTTCCTTCTCCTGCACGTCGAGCCGGAGCCCCGGTTACCCGTTAGGTTCTCCGCGACAAACTGGTCACTATACCTTTGAAAGCTTGTAAACGTCAAACTAAAGCAAAGAAGGACGACGTTAATGAAACCGCAGTTACAAGCTAATATTTTTATTAAACAAACTTCCTTATTGGTTAACAAGAAACCCTACCCTACCTAAGCTACCTCGTAACTCCCACTTAAGTCTGGATCAAGTTTGTTAGGGTAAGTTTTATCGCAAATTCCTATAAATAAAGTTAAACATGTATCCTTGGACAGGAATAACCTGTAGGTTACCATCTGTGTAGGTATATTATTATCAGGTTTAGTCGTTTTAATATACAGTTATGGCCATTTAGTGTTATATGGTTATAATTAATTTAGTTGAGTTCTTAATAAAACTTTTACATTAGCTATTAAGAGATCTAAGCTCGAGTGAGGATAGGTTTATGGTAATTGTGACTTTATGTCAAACGTAGGGATTACCGACGTTCAACTTACTTTCCTTGAAGAGGTACGTTGCAGTGAATAGTGTAATGATTTACAAGTCGTTATTTGCCTACATAAATGGTGAGTGTCTCACGAGTATGCTAAACTTGACTGTGTAAGTAAGTAAAGACTTGAGCTTAGTGTGTAAGCGCCTTGAGCGACTTGAGCCTATTTTTTTCATTAGAAGTATACGTTTCTATATAGCCTAGAGAAGAACCTAGTATTAATATACGGAGCCGCAGAGAACTTAATGGGTAACCAGGGGCTACGGCTCAAAGTGCAGGAGTAGGAACGGGGTGGTTTTTAGTCAGTAAGCCTGACACCCCTCCCGTCTCACCCAGGCGGGAGAAGTCATTCGATGATTTTCCCCTCTTTAGAAAAAGGTATTAATCAACATATTATTTTATTTATTGAGCAAACAAGTAAACAAATCGTCATTCATGGGTTTTAGAGATAAATAAATACGTCTCGTCTATGCATTATGTACGTCAAACAATTGCACAGATATCATACATATGTCAGTCGTTACGCACTTGACTAAGTAAAGCCGTATAAACAGGAAAAAAGCCATCAATGAATAGTTAAAGTAAGGATATTTCATCTGGGTTAATACTTTAAATCACCCATATTTATGTATAGACTAGTTGCTGATGTGTCAATAGACGCAATACCATTATTTTCCTTAAAGGATCCTATTTTCTCTTAAAATTATTAACCCGGCGGGAGTGTGGTGGGGTGCAGCATACCCCAGCACTAGTTTACCTAAGTATATTTTTTTGACTGATAATAACTAGATTTCGTAGCTTCGTGTAGCTGGAG